TGCTCAGTGCCAGAGACAAGCTGGTGACAAAGAACAAACTGCCAAGGATCAAGGCCTTAAAAAGCGATACTCAAGTATCACTTAGAGAACAAAGAATTGTGACTTCTTTTTCTATTTCCATTTGTTCTGAAGAGAACATAGAGCTCCAAGTCCTCCCAAATTCTCTTTCCACTGAAGGTCTACTTTCAGGCTAAAGTGCTTTATAGTGCTACTAAAATGTCACTATTAGCCAATAATTATATTGCACAAAAGTGAGCTCCTGCTGTTTGGATGATGGGTAATCAATAAAGCTTTTTATTAAATACCTAAGAGCTTCAAACAAAGCCAGCTGTTTTCCCAAATCCTACAAATATTAATGAGAGGTTATTAGTCTCTCCTTTCTCCACTTCCTGCCTCTGCCCCTTGGAGAAAGTGATTATATCTGTTTCATTACAAAAGAAACAAAGAAGCTGAACATCAATGGTTCACATCTATAATGCTGGCTATTTGGAAGGCTAAAATTGGGAGGATGGAGATTTGAGGCAAAGCCTGGGCAGAAAAATCCTCAAGAATCCACCTCAACAAAAAGAAACTAACTGGATATGGTGGTGCATGTCTATCATACCACCTATAACAGGAAGCCTAAAGCAGGCAGTCCAGGGATGCTTCCAGACAGGAAAAAAGACTATCTAAAAATTAACCAGCATAACAAAGAGCTAGAGGTATGGCTTAGCAGTAGAGCACCTGCCTAGCAAGTGTGACACCAAGAGTTCAAAATCAAGAACTGCCAAAGAAGGAAAAGAGAGAGAGAACAAAAGAAAGAAACCAAGTGGGTAATATAGAATGTCTGCAACTAAAAACCACACCATATACCCTGTTCGTAAAGAACAAACAGTGCTGCTATTATACAATGTGCTTTAAATGAATTGGAGCAATGAGACTGTCATAATGACCTCTGAGATAGTAGCTTAAACTGTTCTTTCAATTAACTTTACATGCTGCAGCAATAAGCTCAACATGGAGACATCTTATTTGTCCTACTGGAAAAATCACAATTTCAACTCAACACCAACTTTGCTATTTTTCACCTGAGTTTGACTTTTCAGTTGCACCTAACAAGAAGACCATCTAAAAATAAAGGAAATGTCAACAAGGGAGAACAAGACAAAACTGAGCACATACTTACAAACTGAATACTTGGCAGGCTGAAGCAGCCTTGGGCACCAAACCCTATCTCAAAAAATGGGGGGAAAAAAGGAGAGTAAAATATGGGGAGGAAGAGTACTGATAATGAAACTAGCTCTGCCTGGGTGTCAAAGATGATAAGAGTAGGGAAATATGCCCAGGCTGTGGAGAGGTACTGATCATTTAGATAAAAGTATCATTCATCAACCAGGCTTCAGAACTGAAGGGCCTGGTTCTCACTAAAGAGAACTGTTCATTTTCTCTGCTCCATGTCCCTGATGTTCAATCAACACTGACTGCTCAGTGTTAGCACCACTGAAGTCTCATTTCTACTGCCTCTACTTTGGTCTTTGTTCCTCCTAATCCTCACGGGGTGTACTTCCTGTGAACTTCCTCCTTCCCAGAACTCTACAGCAATGTTTCCCTTTCCTGGATCAGCCTGGCCCTCTGACACTGTCAGAAGATCATACTGTCCTGAATCACAATTGTCTGTGAACAATTTCAAAGACCTTCTCTACTGGATGAAAGTCCCTTTTCAAAACAGTCTACACCTACTTCTTGCTTGGGGGTAAAAGTTTTGCTCTCATACTTGCTTAGGTACCCTTATTAAGGCCAAGCATGATGGCTCAGAACTGTAACCCTAGCTACTTAGGAGGCAGAGAGCAGGGCAACCTGGGCAAAAAGTTTGTAAGACTTCATTTCTTTCTTTTTTTTTTTTTTTTTTTTGCCAGTCCAGGGGCTTGAACTCAGGGCCTAGGCACTGTCCCTGAGCTTCTTTTGCTCAAGGCTACCACTCTACCACTTGAGCCACAGTGCCACTTCTGCCTTTTTCTATGTTATGTGGTACTAAGGAATTGAACCCAAGGTTTCACGCATACTAGGCAAGCACTCTACCACTAAGCCATATTTCCAGAACCTCCTTTCTTTTTTCTTTATTAAAAGACTCCATTTCAACCAATAAAAAAAAAATCTGGGCATAAAGCACACATCATGCCAGTTACAAGTAAGCATAAACAAGAGAATCATGGTCTAGGCAGCTTGGGCCAACTGCAAGCTGTTGTTTTCCTGTATTGGAAAAGTAAGGAAAGCAAAAAGGGCTGGGGATGGAACTCAAGTGGTAGAGTGCTTACCCAGCAAGCACAAAACCCTGAGTTCAAACTCTAGTGTCACTCAGAATAAACAAATGAATAAACAAGTGAATAACCTTTCTCTGGCAAATATGAAGAATGATAACCATTAGATAACATTCAACCAATTTATTCTGACATATCGCTATCAAATGCAAACTGACCCTAACAATTTTCCTTAATGTTTCTTCTCATAAAGCAAATAAAAATTGTATGTGAAGAGTCAGATAACACATAGTACCAGATTCTGTAGCCTTGTATATGCCTTCTTATAACCTGATAAAATTTTAACAATTAACTTGTGCCTTTTCCATTCATTACCTACAAATTTTAAACAAATTTTCAACCCAAAAAGTATTAAACTGTCTTTGTGCAAAGCTGAACAACTAAACTCAGTACTGGTCACCATGCTGCTGTAATAAGCACCACTCTTTCTTTTTTACAATAAACTCATTGTGATTAGTTCCTAACAGTGCCCCATGCAATTATTAATAAACAAGTTTTTGGAAGGAAAGAATCGACACAAAACATTCTCCCATGGAGTCTCCCAGACAGCACCAAGAAAGATTAATAGAGATTTTTAAGCCCCTACAAAGGGCATATATCTGTCTAGACATTTGCATATACACTATGCCATGAGGCAGGCAATAAAGATGTATAATTAGGAGCACCCATCCAAACTCTCAGTGCTGTCAATCAGAAAAGACACTACCTTGTCTATACCATTCTCTTTCACTTCACTGCCTCAACACAGAATCAAATGAGTCAAACATCAATGAATTTTGTGAGTATATGAACATCACTGAATTGTTACTCAGTAAATAAGACCATTATTATATGTGTATTTCATCTCAAAAATTATGCTGCTAAGCCATGTGCTAGTCGCTCAAGCCTGTAATCCTAGCTACACAGGAGGCTGATATTTAAGGTTTGAAGCCAGCCAGGCAGGAAAGTCTGTGAGACTCTTATCTCCAATAAATTACCAAAAAAGCCAAAACTGGAGCTGTGGTTCAAGTGGCAGAAGGCTAGCCTTAAGCAAAAAGAAGCTCAGGGACAATGCCCAGGCCCTGATTTCAAGCCCTAGGACCAGGGAAGAAAAAGAACAAAAACTGAATCAAAGCTGCTAACTGTCTCTGTAGAGTAACCAAAGGACCAAGGCTGCTTCCTAACAGAAACAGTAGACTGAGGTTCAATTCACATCAAGCTTCCCTATTCCTTAACAAGAAGTGCTGCCAGGCTGCTCAAAAATTCCCCTTCTGAGTCCCACAGTCATACCGGAAAAGGATGAGAAAGCAAGTATGCTGTAATCATGGCCTTTTTGGTATTATGTCTGGTATAAACTCCCTAAATCAAACAACACTGCAAATGAAATATTACCCAGTGGAAAAAACAGCCAATGATGTTCTCAGGTTTCATTTACCAACACAGTTAACACAAAAAGTGACCTAGAATATCAATCATTTCCAAACTTAATTAATAAAATACTCAGAAGAAAGCCTCTCTTCATAGGTAATTACACTGAACCCTCACACCAAAGTTAATTAAGCAGAAAGAACTGGCCTGAGGGTTCACTAGCAGGAGGCCAAGGGATTGTGAGCAAAGGACAGATGAGGTAGACTCTTCAGGGAGAAAGAAGGCAAAGTGTAGACACAACAACAAAAACTCCTATGTGGAGGAAACTGTTCCAAGTACTTTATATGACCCAACTAATTTCTCACCAATAACCCTCTAAATTGAGATCACTGATCCCCATTTTAAGTATGAGGAACAAAAGAACGGAGCCTAAGAAAATCGCATGAAGGTTAACACAGGCAAGAAGTGACGGACCTTCAGATACCACCGAAATCAAGGCAAGCAGCTTCCCGTGGTTCACCAGATCACTGAAACTACGGCCAGCAACATTCCTGTAAGTCCATCTTTCCCTGCTAGCTTGTCATCCATATGTTGTTTGTTTTCCATATAGAGAGGTCGCTCTCTTTAGCTCACTGCTGTACAAAGCAACGGGCAATAGAACATTCCCAATCTACACAGAGGGGCAAACTCAAAGCAAGGGCTCAAGTTCTGACCAAAGGATCAGATTTAGAAACTGGGAACCGAAGAAACTCGGGAGTCGGAGCGACATCACACGCTTGCATCTGGTGTGTGCGGTGTCTCACAGAAACACCCGGCTCTGAATGAAGCCCGAAGACGAGGCTCTGGCGTTGCACACAGGGCCCCGGGCCACCTGCACGCAGGTGAGCGGGCCCGCTCGGCTCGGATGCCCGCTGGACTCGGGCGGGAGGCGCAGAGACCGACCCGGCCAGGGCTGCGCCCATCAGGCGGCGGCGGGAGACCTTGCCCTGGGCCCCAGCGCCAGGGTGTCCCGCGGCCGCGGCGGGTCGCGCACCCTCCGCACGGGGTCCAGCCGGGCGGGGGGTTGGGGCTAGTCCTAGGCCGCGGCGGGGAGAGCGCGAAGCCCTCCGCGACCTCCGGAGGTCGCTCCCTGCCCCCGGCCCTCTGTCCCTTAGTCTTCCTGGGAATAAAGAGGCTCCATCTTCCTCCCGACACCGGGCGAGACGACTCAGCTCTCCCTGCCCTCATCTCTCCTCAAAGCCCCACAAGGCGCCGGCGCCCTTCGCCAGCTCCTCGCCGGTCCTAGCCGGCCAGTCCCTACGCCCATCCACCCGCTGTGGAAAAGCTCAACGGCCTTAGACCCCCGCCGACCCTCACCTCACGGGGTCCGTAGCCACCTGACACGCTGTCAGGACGCCCGCCGCTCCACATCCCCGGGCCAGCGCCGAACTGGCCAACCCCCCACCCACCGCGATTGGCCAGCAAGACGGCAGCCCCGCATTCCTATTGGCTAGACCCCTGCAGCTCTCGGTGTGCGTGGCCAGCAGAGTCGGTACGGAGGCTCCGCCCACCCCGAGCTCCGACCGGAGGCGGGGCCGCCGCGGGAGGTGCGTCTCTCAGAGCCTCTTCCGGCGCTGCGCAGACCTACAAAGCTAGGAGTTTATCACGCTAGCGGCGTAGCGACCAGATTCCCGTGACAGTTCCGCCGCCTGCCTTAGGCTCTGATAACCAAGCCTGTTTCTTCTGGAGGCCTGACTCACCACGAAGAACAGCTACATCCAATAAAGAATCATAGGGCCGGCTGCCGGTAGGTCACGCCTGTAATCCTAGCTACTCAGGAGGCTGAGCTCTGAGGATGGCAGTTCGAAGCCAGCCGAAACAGGAAAGTCCTAGAGACTCTTATCTCCAATTAACCAACAAAAAGCCGGAAAGTGAAGCTGTGGTTAAAACAATAGAACTCTAGCCTCAAGCACAAATGATTAGGAACAGCACCCAGGCCCTGAGTTCAAGCCCCAGGACCAGCAATTAATTAATTAAAACGTATGTACCTGCCATTACCTCTTTCTTTCACTTTTATAGCATTGTATTGTGCTGCCTTGTCAGGACAATACACCCCATGTCTGGGAGGAACAACAGAGCATTTGCTGGTGTAGCAAGTTCCACTGCGCTCGGGTGTCCTACTTGGAAGCCTCCCATTTAATTATTTCCCTCCATCCCACTCAGCTCTGCTGACCTTCTGCCCACACTTAATCCTTGCTTACAGCAAAGCAATCACTACTCCCACCCGAGTCCCAACCTCACACTGACTGTTTCTCTGAAGATGCCTGGAGAGTAAATGGCCTGACAGATTGCTTTGTACGATGTCCATCAGATACACCAAAAATATTCTTACTGTAACAGCATAAGAGATAACCCTGCTTCTTTCTTCACATAGAAACTGCTACAAGAAAATTTCATTAGTAGGAATCCAAGATAATAGGATAGACAGAGAACTGTAAAAAGGGGGGAAAAATCCAAATAAAGTAAAAGCAAATTCTACAGTGGGAAAAAAAAAACCTCATCTTCATTGTATTCACTGTACTTATAAACCTATGTTGAACTGAACTCCTTTGTACAACTACTCCTAAAAGATAATACAAAAAAAAAATCATCTGATCTGCTCTTTCTCTTGGAGAAAACAGAAAATGCACAAATTAGTTCTAAGAATGTCTCTACAGAGACTGTGGAGTCTGAGAAAGGTCTGACAAAGTCCTTCTAGACTGGGATCTTTCCTTTGGGAACCTCAGCTGCATCTAAGATGAAAGGTCTGAGGCTGTTTTTGACGTCCTTCCAGGTCAGCTGAGCTGGCAGCTTCCCTGGCTAGTAGACTTACTTGCTGGCTACTTACTTAGCTCGCAGTTTGGAGCTGCCTCCTTCTTCAGTTGCTTCTTCCCCATGGTGCAGAACTGGTTTGGCTTTTCTCGGGGCCCCACTGTCTCTATATATGCTGACAAGGGCGCCTCCTTTGGTTAGTAAGGACACTGCTTGCTCTCGGGAACAACATTTGTAAATACTGGAGAAAAATGTCAAGAGACAAACCGCGCCCTCCAAAGCATAATCCAATTTCATCTTTGACCTGCCATGAAAAGGGAAGCATTGTGCCACTCCTTGATATTAATAAACAGCAATTGAAGACTTTTATTCTAAGATTTTATTTCTGTACGACTTGGCAGGAGCAGAAACTAGGAGGCCCTGTGGTTGCCGGTGAATGAAAGGGGTGGAGTAAGAGGAAAGGCTTTCCTGGATGCCGTGCCCCTTGGCATGAAGCTCATTCAGGTACTTGTACCAGGGCTGCTTAGGCACTAGGACTCTGCCCCTCTGAGACATGAGTTGAAACCCATTAACCCAAAGCGTGACACCCCACATGAATTTTCCACTTAGTACGTGCAGTATTGATACACTTATGAGGAATCTCAAAGTATAGGTGAAAATGCCATTTGGTCTACCCCTTGGGATCTGAAGGAGCCGCTGGCATTCACCTAGTCAATCAGTGATCCAGACAAACCTAGGACACCTGCCTGACGGAAAAGTTAAAGAAAAAAAAAAAGGCAAGCCAAGATTTCTCAATCTGGGAGGAGGGGAGCCGAAAGAATGGGGAAATTTTACCACAGGGAAACTACCTGAAATAGGAATAAAGCAGTAATCAAATTATCTAGGTATGCTTTCAGCAAGTGGCTCTGGGTTCTACCAGAACACCTTTTGTGTCTGTAGAAGGAAATGTGTATATCCTATCCACAACCCTAGTTGAAAGTCTATTTTTTTCCCTTCTTTGGCCAGTCCTGGGGCTTGAACTCAAGGCCTGAGCACTGTCCCTGAGCTTCTCTGGCTCAAGGCTAGCACTTTACTATTTGAGCCACAGCGCCACTTTTCCAGCTTTTTCTGTTTATGTGGTATTGAGGAATAGAATCCAGGGCTTCATGCAGGTGAGGCAAGCACTCTACCACTAAGTGACATTCCCAGCCCCCTAGATGAAAGTTTTGTTGCCTGGGGTCTTGACTAAATACTAAAAGTCAAATCAGAACACCATCTATCTCCTGTCTTCACTCTTCATCAAACTGATTCCCTAAGGTAATTTTTTTTTTTTTTTTTGGTTGGTCATGGGGCCTGAACTCTGGGCCTGGGCGCTGTCCCTCAGCTCTTCAGCTCAAGGCTAGCACTTTACCACTTGAGCCACAGTGCCACTTCCAGCTTTTTCTGTTATATGGTGCTAAGATATCGAACCCAGGGCCTCATGTTTGCAAGGCAAACACTCTACCACTAAGCCACCTTTCCAGCCCCCTAAGGTAAAGTCTTTTGGGCTGGAAGTGTAGATCAAGTGATAGAGAACCTAGCCAAGAGAAGGCCCTGAGTTTAAACCCTACTTCACCAAAAGAAAGAAAAGGGAAAGGAAGGTGACTCAAGTGGTGAGTGCTAGCCTTGAGCTGAAGAGCTGAGGGACAGCGCCCAGGCCCAGAGTTCAAGCCCCACAACTGACCAAAAAAGAAAAAGGGGGGGAAAGGAAAAAGAAAGAAGACAGCTGTGTGCCAGTGGCTCATGCCTATAATCCTAGCTACTCAGGAGGCTGAGATCTGAGAATCTTGGTTCAAAGCCATCCTAGCCAGCAAAAAGCCAGAAATGGAGGTGTGGCTCAAATAGTAGAGCACCTGCCTTGAACAAAAAGCTAAAAGATACTACCCAAGCCCCAGGACCTGTACAAAAAGAGAGAAAGAAAAGAAAAAAAAAAAAAGAGGAAAAAGGAGTTGTCTCTGCAGCATGGGCTAGGGACAATATGTCCTCTTCAGGTTAAAATATAAGTATCTGTAAAATCACTTATTAACTAATGTTTTAGGGAGAAAGCATTCAAATTTATGAATTCTAGAAGTAGGAGTAGGGATGGGTAATTCAGTAGCAGGGCACTTGTTTCACATGTGTGAGGCTTGGAATTGAATCCTCAACCCCCCCCCCCCCCCACACACACACACACCACATACACAGAAGAAACACAAGGGCACAAGGGTTGGGAGCATGGGTCAAGAGAGAGGCCCTGAGTTCAATCCTCAGTAGCACAAAAACACCAAATTCTAAGGATAAGAGTATGGCTCAGGTGGTAGAGGGCTTGCCTTGCAAGTTTAAGACCCCAAGTTCAAACCCTAGTACAAAAACATTATAAAACAGGAATAGATTTTACAGTGAGGAACTAGCACACCTGTTGTTTCCATTACTCAGATGCTTTTTCCAACCTAGGCATGTGTAGTATGGTATGTGTGTGTGTGTGTGTGTGTGTGTGCGTGTGCACGCGCGCTACTGTGCTAGTACTTGGGCTTGAACTCAGAGCCTTGTACTAGTGCGTGGCTTTTTCTCTCAAGGTTGCCTGTCACTCTACAACTGAAGGCAGCTCCACTCCTACTTTTTGGTGGTTATTGGAGATAAAAGTCTCATAATGTTCATCTGCTTGTATAAAATAATATTTATCGAAATGAACTCCAGGAAATGGAAACAAGACTTTTGTTTTCTTTTTTATCAGTCCTGGGGCTTGAACTCAGAGCCTGGACACTGTACCAATTGAGCTACAGCGCTACTTCCAGCTTTTTCTGTTTATGTGATACTGAGTAATCGAACCCAAGTGCTAGGCAAGCACTTTACCACTAAACCACAATCCCAGCTCCTAGTTGTTTTTTTTTTCTTTGTTGCAGTTTCTGTTTTGTTTGTTCAGGTATCAGTCTTTGGGAGGGGAAGGGGGCACAGAAATGCAGCAGTGGTACTCATTAGACACCATGTTGAAAACAAACTATACAACTTGTAGGTGGGGATGAGAGAAGTAGGGAAGTGGGGAATAGTGTCCAAAAAGAAATGTACTACAGCTGGACACTGGTGGCTCACGCCTGCAATCCTAGCCACTCAGAAGGCTGAGATCTGAGGATCATGCTTTGGAGCCAGCCCAGACAGGAAAGTCCATGGCTCAAGTGGTAGAGCACTAGCCTTGAGCACAGAGTCTCAGGGACAACCCCGAGGCCTACAATGCAAGCTCCAGGACTGGCAAAAGAAAAGAAATGTACTCTTTATCTGATTTATGTAACTGCAACCCCTCTATACATCACCTTTATAATAACAATTAAAAACTTAAAAAAAAAAATCTCACAGACTTTTCGGCCCTTTGCAGGCTAGCTTCAGATATCAACCTAGGATTACATGCATGAGCCATCAATGCCTAGACAACATACACTCCTGTCCAGTTAATCCCCAATAGTAACTGACTGTAACAAAAACCAAATTTTATTATTAGATGCAAACACTGAATTTAACACTTCACAAGTATTCATTAATCCTCATATTATTATGAGGATTATTCCTCCCAAGGCAGGAATTGACCTTTATTTTGCAAATTAGGAATGATAGACTGGAGGGGTGGGGTTAAGTGAACTGCCTAAGGACATACATAATTAG